AACGCAGAATTCTTGCTTCGCAGTCTGGACGCAAAGGACTGTGTACGACCATTTTTTAATTCGCTTAGTGGGGGTAGAGTAGAACTGGGTCCACTCGGCACGGCTTTTCGGGCTTGCTTCTGATCGAGTAGGAATATGATCGACTTTTTCTTCAGTTAGTACATGTCTTTTTCGATATTTCTTTTTGTACAGCCCCGATTCCATAGAATATAATTTTGTTACACTATTGTAAATCGTTATATATGGGAACGACATAACAAGTCCAAATTCTACACTGTACCATTGGAACCTTAGTATTAAGTTGCCATACATATTTCTTAACCTCCCATACTAAATTGTTTAAATATATTATTTTTTAAAATATTTTTAATATTTCTATAATATATTCAACATTTCATAAATCTTGATATATGGTATATATTTTCATATTTTGGCTTCTCTCTTATTTTGTATCCCACACTTTAATTATAACACCAACTTGAGACAAAAGTTTTATGTGAGTATATAATACGACACGTTGCACTGATATGGATCCGTGTCGGCAGTTCAGTAACTGTACGTTTTCCTATATATAACTGCCTGATGATGGGCTTGTATGACCGAAACATGTAGCAGGAATAAAAAGTCGAATTGTAAAACATTAAAAGCGAGTGTATTTGTTGTGTGACGGTTAACCTTGTTCCTATATGTGTATCTGGAACACACAAGAGGATGCAACCAATGAAGATTGTACTCGTAAATCGTTGCTTTACACGACACTGTACTGTCGGGATACTTCCCGAGAAACTTTCTACTGCATTTCCTGACCTAAGAACTCTGTACAACGGTATCGTACGTAAATCATTTTTATTCAGGACTGGGTTCCATTTTCGCACTCCGCGTTCTGTAACTCTGCGTATCTCAAGGATAACAAACTGCTCAACAGGCAGCGCTATCGAGGGCAGACGTCGAAGGACGAAGCGACGGTTTGGAGGCCAACAATGGGCAGTCGTGGGTGAAGAAATTTATAGCCGTCCGGTCTTGAGGATAAATTGGGCTCACAGCTTCGAAAATTAAGATATTTTAGTCTGACAGTAACAAATCAAAATTACAACTGTTATTTATATCGTGAAGATGGAGGCAGCAGGTTTCTCTGAAATGTCAATACCCTTCTGCCAAACTGTACTCCGCCACATGTGAGAAGACCGTAAGTACCTCAAATCTCGCGTTCACGATGCAGGTAAGAGCGGATTTAATTCGATAAATGCTCGAGATGTTGTAGTTCTGAATATTTCATTTCCGTTCTCTAATATACAAGTACATATAAATTAATATAAAAAGCTTTGTGTATAACTTTGAGAGAGAGACAGAGTTTGGGGGATTTTTTAAAGGAATATCGAGGGAAGTGTCCTGGTGGATGGGGGACAAACAGGATGGGGAAGGAAGATGTTTAATAAGGTGCATAATTTACACTCCTTAAAGGTAAAGTTATCCCTGGACTTAATTAAGCACAGTGCCAAAAGGACATGTTGGGAAACGGAGGTATAGCTCCACCATTCTCAACCTCGGCACTAGATGGAGATGAATGGTGAGCTTCACACCCTCTCCGCTTTATCCCCGAGGAAACAGCACCCGGTATCCGCTGTGTAGAAGGCTGGATGAGTCCCACAGCCATTCTGGACTTTACGGAGAAGAAAGAAATCTCTTCTTCCTGCCGGGAAATGCTATTGCGATGATCAAATAAGGGAGGATAGGATGGGCAGAGAGTATAGCATGTATGGAAGTAATAAGAGATGCATACAAATTTTAGTCTGAAATCTGAAGGGCAAGAACCACTTGGTAGACATGGGCATAGATGGAAGACCGTTAAAATTGATCTTAACAAAATATGATGTGAGGGTGTGGACTGATTTAACTGGCTCAACATAGGGTCCAGTGGCGGGCAGTCGTGAACATGATAATGAACTTTCAGCTTCCGTTAAAGGTTCTTAATTTTTTGACCAGATAAGCTACCATGAGCCACCCGTGGAGTTAAGGTAGGCTATATGGTTATGTTTCTTCCATATTACTAAAATGCTAACGTTTACTTAATCGCTATGAGAACCAGAATCACCAAATTTGACACTGAAAGATAGTACTCAGTAATGCAACTCCCACAAAGGTAAATTTGTCCTTATCATCAAGTAAAGTATCCCTCCACGAAGACTTGTGGGCACTAGATGGAGTTGAGCGGTCAGCTTCATGCCCAGCTGCTCTACCTGGGGGGGATAGGCCCCAGTACCCATTCAATATGAGATTGGGCCGACTCATGTTCATTCCGGACCTGTGCAGAAAAGCGTCTTGCCTCTGTCTGGAATGGAACTTCGATTTGTAAGGTTAATAAGGTTCCCGCACAATATATATGAGACAAATTCCGTCTTAAGTGCAACAATTTAATTATATATTGTGTGAGTGTAACAGGATGCTTAAATATAATATTCCCACACACCTTTAGGTGAATGCAGTTTTAATATCTGCTCAATACTTCATCCTCATAACCTAGTCCGTCCCAACCAAGTCAATACCAGTGGCTTTCCTCATTTAGTGTTTAGCCCTACATCGTCTTTTCAAGTAACATAGCTTCTTTAGATCAGTTGTGAATGCCCCGTGCTGTATTGGCAACTTCTTCGGCACTCGTGTTGATCGTGTTGACTGAAGGAAATTCGCATACAGCAGTTCTTGGCCCCTTATGATTCATGGATCATTAAGACGCCATTCGGTTGCCCGAGGACTCGTATTGGTGCAACACAGTAGCCCGCAAATATGAGTACTGATATATCCACACACGCTTGAATGCAATGTGAGAAGGAACACCGTCATTGACTATTAAAATCGAAGACACGTTGCAGTCATCGTTAGTGAACACTCGTAATTAAAACTCATCACCGAACGTAACGGTCAAGTGAGTAGAGCTCCTACTTCGTATTCAGGAGGTCCTGGGTTAAAATCTCAGCTGGAGACTGCTTGTGCTGACTGAAATTTTCCATGGTTCTTTCTCAGTCCCCCCCCCCCCACCNATTATCAGTTCCTTCCACATCCATTCCAGTTCGTGGTTCACTAATCGTCGAACTCTTCAACTATATATTGATTTATTGGGAGAGTCATTAAATAAGGCATAGATAAATATAAATAAATATAACATGGCTGAAATGCATATGGAATAATTTTTCAAACAAACCCGTCGTTCAAAGCTGTGCAGTTTGTAACATGGCTTCCAGCTTGCCATTTCAGAGAAGTGCAGCAATATATCCCCCAAACTGTATTCCCCTTCTTCTGTAGTCTTTAAGAGGAAAATGAAGGGGAAGAGGATTCCCTGCGTGTAGAAAACTAATGTTTCCAATTGCAGAAATTATAACCGTAACTGGAAATTACGGACTGGCATAAATTGAACCGTGAACAACATGTTGAGAAACACAAAATACACTAAAAATTTTTCGTTTATTTCCATATTATTATTTACGAATCAACCCAACATTTCGAGCCTCGTTTTTGTGACACGTGACCACAGTTCCAGAAAAAGCCTGCAGCTGCACCGTCATGCTACTGGATAACCTTTCAAGCTGGCAACCCTGATTCGTGTGCTTTACATTCACACACCTGTTTTGAGCGAGTTCCCCGTAAACCCTGAATTTTGGGTAAACACTGAGGGTCATTCTTAAATCATGGAAAGAAGAATTTACGTAAAGTGTGGCTTGATGCAAAGGAGCCAAAGGAGTTAGATGTCCCTCAACAACATAAAAAAGACCGTGCATCTTCAAATGTCTACGTCATGTGGTCCGTTAATTGATATTGCAACCAAACAAATCACTTTGTAAGTTTGTAAATTTGTGTTAGTTGGTAAATATTGCAAATTATGAAACATGATTTCTCGTCATTACACAACTCAGTTACTGCCATGTAGCCCTTATTACAACTGACAAAGTACGGCTTTACGTGTTGTCAGTATTGCACTGTCATGCCTGACCCACTTCATTGCAGTGCTGTTTGTATAATACAGACTGAGTGAAATGAACTCCATAGTTTCTTTATCCATTCAATCAACACAGTAAATGGAAGCATTGATGCTTGATGATTGATGTAGAGGAACATTCTTATATATTGAGAGGTTCTGTGGTTTATTTACTAGAAGTTATAGAAAGAAGTTATAGTACCTAATTTTTTTCAAATGTCTCAGTCTGTGTAATGAGGTTGACAGGAGCTGTAAATTAAAAATTATACAGTTCTGTGCTCCATGTCTCTGCATAATTTCCAGTAGTACACATTCCCACTTCATTACAATTATCATGTGCTGGTAGGCACACTTTTCAAATCACAGCTTATAACGACAGAAATAAAATTTGCACTGAAGTAGTGATGTGGCATATAGACCCATTGCCAAGCAGTGACTCTGTAACAGTGACTATTTTTGGACAATGGCTCGGTAAACACGTTCCTGCAGCAACATACAGGCATGCAACAGTAGAGTTACTGTTGAAATGGGATGTTTTCTGTGTGGTCCGTGCCAAGATGTTATAACCAGGACAGCTAGAGCAATGAGTTCAGGCAGTTCTGCATGGGAGGCTGTGTAGATAGAACCTGAGCGCGTGAAGCTGAAGAATCTTCAGTGTTAGAAGCCATAGCCAGGAAACGGCTGATGAAACCACAGCAGGCTGGAAATGGCTTAGCAGGTGCTGTGGTGATTTGTGAATTGTGGAGATTAGTAATAGGGTTATAAATATTTGTAGTTCTGAGTTGTGTGTATAAGTTGTCAGTCCATCCACCTATCCAAACCCTGTATATACTCATATATCCGTGATAATATAGCGACACTATTCATGCATGCAGGGACTTAGGCAATGATGTATGGTGTTGATTTATTAAGAAGTTTGACAAACAACGTGGAATCCCCAACCATTTTCAAGTGACACCTAAAGTGTACAGATGGTGTTGCCAGTTGTCCTATATGCCAAACTGACTGCAGGATCAATTTCTTCTTATTTCAGATGGATGACGATGAAGATGATGATGATGATGACGATGATGATGAGCAGGACTCTGTTCCCAGTGCAGCGGGTTCCGTTGAGAATGGCTTTGGAGTATCGCGACGCAGAATAAGTGGGAGTAACCCATGGCGCCGGACAGGTATCACGCACCACGAGTATCACAGCTACATCGACAACGCATTGGAGTGTAGGCGTCAATCTGTCAATTGATTCTATGTCTCAGTGTTGTGTGCATGCATGGCCTGCCATGCTAGTAGCATCAGCTCCAATACCAACAGCAGCAAGAATGGTGCATCTCTAGGGTGACCAGAAATCTTCACTTTTTACAAGATTTCAATATATGTCTTCGATTTCATAATCAGATTCAACATTATTTTGAAATATTATTTAAATTCCTCTGGTTTCATTCTTTTTTGAGAACCAGTCTCACGTAGATCCTTTTTGCCCGTTTTTAAGAATAATCACCTCTAAGGAAAATGAGGAAGCCGAAATTGTATATTGCTTCCAAAATAAACATTATATATGTTGTAATTCCATTTTAACATTAGTTTAAAGTATTCTGTATGTTATGTCATAACTACATTCACACAATGAGTCTTTGTATTTTAAAATTTGCATCTAGAAAATGAAAGTTTGAAACCCACTTCCAGACATTTATTTTATTCTATTCCACATGCTTTAATGTGGGCTCAGCATATCGGTCACTCGTGTTCTGATCACATCTGCATTTTGTAATTTGAAATTCTCTTGAAGTTCATGTTGTTACAAAGAGTTTGTTGTTGTAATGCAGCATTTGAAAATGTAATTATACTTGCCCACATAATGGCAACTAAATAACAAAGAAGTTCCTGCAAAGAAATAAGTGCGTGCATGCATGCAACAGCCATCTGTTATTAAAAGTTTCAAACTTAAATTTTATTTTCGGCCATGTATCAGTAAATGAAATAAAGGCAGTATTATTTCATAGCTTCGTAATTTTAATGTAGTACTAAACAGAACTTGCGCGTCATACGTCACTTCAAAATAAAAAATTGTTTCAATCATAAATTCCATTTTTGGCATGAAAATCAGGTCTCCAAAGCCACGTTTCTTTGATTCTGCATAGTGTCATAAATACTTCTATTTCCTGTCAGTTAATTTTGACTGGCAGTTGCAATTAACTGATTAGGATTTATACTAAACTACATTTTTCTCACACTGTTAGTATTACCATTCTTCTCTTTTTATAGAATTCTCTGATGTTAACATATGTTTTGGTAATATCTGGTCACCCTAATATCCTAATTTAGATGCTCACTTGTGTCTGGCTTTAGCTTTTATTAAGTTGCAGCTCATTTTCTCTTCATTGATATAACCTCCTTACCGAATCTATAAGTTTCTTTAACGTGGGGTGATGTCTGAAGAAGACGTGTAACTTCTGAGTTAGTAGGCTATCCACTGGATTCATTGCAACATGAGATTACTTACACTTCCATAAAGCAAGGTCATTATACTACCATAAACCGAGATCAGTAAACATCAGTCTCTTTATTATTTCCACATGCATCATTAATTACCCAGTGACAGTAATTACTATGAAGATGTAGATAATAATGATGATACATAAACTATTAAAAGTAATACAGATAGCAAGATACAAAATTGGACTAAATATTTCATATTATTGTGTTTATTTTATAGTTAATTTGAGAAAGTAGTGATGAATTGAGCTGGGATAGCGTAGTCGGTGTAGCAACTGGCTATGGGCTGGATGTCCAAGGGGTCAGAATTCAAGTCCCCTTAGTGTCAAGAATTTTCTCTTCTCAACATCGTCCAGTGCGTACTGTGGCATCATTCTCCGGGGGTAAAGCGGCCGTAGCGTGAGACTGACCACTCACCTCCAACTAGTGCCGAGGTCAAGAATACGTGGATCTATACATCTGCTTCCCCATATGCCTTCATTCCGTAGTGCTTAATTACTTAAGCACAGGTACAATTTTACCTTAGTGGTGGATTGCATTGTACATTGGATAGGGAAAAGGAAAATGAAGAAGAACCCGGCCATCACAAGCACAGAATATATGGTTTGTGTTGTTTGCTAGACTTTCCAAATTCTCTTAATTTTTTATCATTGTATTATTGCTCCAAATGTGACATTTTCTTCATGATAAGAACATAACTTCTGTGCATTAAATTCTTGTAACTGTACTACATCATTATTACTTAAAACACTGTGGTGGGTATGATTTAAACTGCAGACGCTGTTCATCATCTTCATACTTCCACCCACAGTTACTCAGTTCTCTTTGTGTCTCAAATATGTGCTTGGTGGAATGTGTTCAGTCTTTTCCTGCCATTTCACTTCATTTTTAAGGGACTTCAAAATAAATAGAAAATGCCTTGAATCGTGGAACTGGAAGCATTGGGATCAGTGACTTTACTGTTCAGTTAAATTAACTTTCATGAAATTTAAGCTTTTGAATCCTCAAAATGGTATTCCATCTTTTCATGCAGTGTGTTCTTCTAAGTCACCATGTAAGCTGTGCCCTCCTTACATGCAAATTTTCTTTGTGCATTCAGAATAAAAAATTGCAAATATGCAGCTGGTAGCTTCGCTGAGTCATCCATATGTATGTAACAACATGAGAACTGCTGAATGGATCTTCATGGAATTTGCTGTTGGGGAGTTTTACTAAAAGTATTTTACACATTCCAGATTTTTTAAAATCAGACAGAAATAGTGGATATTTTACACAAAGACCTAAATGTGTTCCTGCATACATCTCAATCACAACTTCTTGCATATTCATCAGAGTAAAACATGCTTCAAACAAGTGCCCTAAAGAAGAATGACTTCTAAGTCCAGTACATTCTTTCATCAAATCTTAAAGTTTTTTGATATTGTTAAAGAAAAGGGAGGAAAAGTAGCAGAATTATTACATTTTGCATATTTTAGGTGCCTTTGTAACCTTGAAGAACGCCTATTAAGTTCATCCATTACATCCATCCATCTCCACATAGAAACAATTTAGGAACTACATATTATTTTCATGAAATCTGACCTTATGGAGTTTTAATAAAGTTTGTCAGCGCATTCCAGTTTTGGTTAAAATTGAACCAAAATAATGGACACTTAATGGAGACATACAGTGTTTCAGAGCATACTTTGGGCATAACTCTCCAAATGCAGAAAATTGTTTCAAACAGTAGTTGTAGAGAAGAAATTCTTCTATATGTTTACATTTCCTAACTTCTATACTCAAAAGTCAAAAAATGGTCCTTTGAACACCTACAAAATAACAAATACTTTCATTGTTATAGAAAAAGATTACGGTTAAGAAAGTATAAGTCTCAATTAATTTTAGGCTTCATTGCATTCAGTTTTGTTTTTCGTTCTTTTACTGTGGTGTTCTATTACAATATAACTTTGAAGCATATATTAAACAATTTATACATATTTAATCTTCTTATAGTTTTTAAAATAACAGTGAACAGTAAAGCCTTAATATTGATAGTTTATTTGTTCATTGTAGGCCTACAGTTCTGATTTTTCACCAGTCTGAATAAGTAGCAGTTAACAGTAAATATTTGTGTCATTGTCTTTGGTTATTACTCACCATCTTAATCATTCATTTTATCTAAAAAAAAAGCCACTTTGAATTACAGAATATTACTACACTTTCTCATGTTAGCTACAGTTTATTCTCTTGTAAGTACTTTGAAGATCATGAATGTTAGCGTGTCATTCATATAATGCCTTCTAAGGAATGGAGAGGAACATGGTAGCACAGTTGGTTGAGGCATTAGGCTACAAGCCTGAAGGTTGTAGGTTTGATTCCCGATGAGGTCATTGAGTATATCAAATAACCTAATCCTTCCAGCCACATTATGGCCCTGGGGTTGACTTGGCCTTTAACAAAAATGAGTACTGGGAATCTTCCTGGGGTTAAAGCATCATGGGCGCATAAGGCTGACAACCTCACTGCCATCTGTGAACTGACTCTAGAAACTGTGCTTGCCTCAACGTCTTACATCCCTATGGGCCTAAATGACATATTACATGGATACGTTTACCTTTATTTTAACTTTCTATGAAATGATCTGTTAAGCTTTATATTGGTATACTTACAATGCTGTCATAATTGTAATAATCACAAACTTCACAGATAGATTCGCTTGTATCAGCTATTACTTCTCACAATTTTTCTCTCTCTAGACTTCTGATTCACTAATTTCCAAGTTATTGTGTGGTGGAGTCTTGATTTATTAAATCCCTTTTAGGGTCATCCTTATATTTCAGTTATAATATAATCTAAGAGCAGTCCTTTATATCTGAATTCACTTCCACTTTGCATCTTCCCAGATCAGGGTTTCTTGTATTTTTATTTTTATTTCATTGATGCAAAGATTTATGACATTGGAACAAACTAAAAATAGCTTGGTTTTGATCTTAACATTAAAATTTAATAATTAAAGAAATATATAAATAAGAACAGTAAGCAAATATAAATAAGTAAATAAATAAATAGGTACATATATATCTCGTATAATGTTGCAGTATTCCAAGAAAAATATGATTTAAATTAAGAGGATTGAGAATTTTAATACTTAACTTGAGTAATGCCCAGCATTTCAGATACCATTTTCATTAGTGTAAACGTGATTGTAATTTTAATAAAATGTAATGGGATTTACAAATAATGTATAAATGTTTCTGACCATACAGAAGCAAGGTATGTTTATCACAGAGAAGATATGAAATTAATGAGAAAGCAAACTGACCTTATGCTTTAATCCATACTAAGACAGTAAAACCATTTAGGTTTTCCTTGGCTGAATGCATAATCTAATGCAGAATTAAGAATTAAATTTGTTATCTTGTGACTAATTGTATGTTACAGTCAAGTATTTGTACATAGTATAATATAATTCAGAAAGAGAGAAGCAATATTGAAGGAGTGTTTGGGAGTTCAGGTAAAAGAATGGATTTAAGGATTCTTTAATACGTGGTTTAACGCCCCCTGTCATATTTATAAATTTGTAAATAGCCTCAATTACCATTGCTAATTTTAAATGTACTAGAATTTAAACACAGTACAAAGGTAATTGAATAAAATCACACATTATGGTGTCTGACAGGAAACTATAAGGTATGATACACATACAAACTGTTATAATTTTCAGTTACACTTAAGTAGTGAAATACTT